ACCACGTAAATTTTGTAAAGTTGCAAAACAGTAAACTACATATATGCATAAATAAATAATAATAGTAATTTAGTGCTATGATTTTAGCCCTTCTAAGTGACGAATCTTTTTGACAAAAAACAAAACAAAACGTTGAATGAAGTAATGACTTTATTGGCGCTACTGAATTTGGCAGCCATTTCAAGTATCTGGAAAATTTTAATATCTGATACAAAATTGATGGCTGGATTGGGAGCCAATGTTGGGCTGATACAAGATCTGTTGAGCAAGATGTACTTCAGAATTATGAATTAGGCGTAATTGAACATCTTATTTGGTTAAACTTGCGATCCAACCTAACAAACCCACGTGCATTAAGAAATACATGTGGCCAAGAATCTCAACTTGCAAACATTACTAATTTTTTTTCAAAGGAATTGGATTCCTCGCAATCAGGTAGGTTGTTTACCCATTGTTTTACTATGATTAGGGAGGGGCATAGAGGAGCAGGTAAGGGTAATTGTCCTCATAAAAATCTAAAATTATTATATATTTTAAATTCTTTTTATATATTTTTTTTATTAAAAATCTGTTTTTGTCTCTATAAAATTTTATAAGTTCAAATTCGGCTTCTAAATTTTTTATAAGTTCAAATTCGTCTTCTCCAACTTAAAATCGTTTGTCCGTCCACTATAATATTAATACTTATTCTGCAAAAATTATACCTTTAAGGCTAACATGTGAATTAATTAAAGATAGTCTCTAGCTTAATTTCTCTTAGGACTCTGGATTTTGGATCATGAGAAAGTTATCCACTTACATGTATGGAGTTTGTATCGGGGCTGATACCCGGATCGAAGATACATGGAACCTAGGGATTGAGGCCATTAAAGGGCTAAATACACTGGAGAAAATCAAAAACCCAACTTTGCTTTTTCAGCGAGCAATTACACTAAAAGATTTTGCTGATGCTAATGTTAATGCTAATCCAGGTCAACGTACACGCGTTGCCCTGAAAGGCATTAGCCTGCGGCCACCAAAGTGGGACTGGATCATTATAGCGTATAAGAGTTTTTAATCATGGCCTAAGCGTCCAGACCTCATTAGAGACCGTGGGTCCATTATGTTTTTAAGTTGTTATCGGCAAAGCAACTTAGATGTAGCTTACAAATTTCTACGACAAATTAATTACAGAGTGCAGAGAGCCTATACAACATTGACACTTGGCACATTTTTGCCTAACGAGGTCTCGGGTGAGACATGAAAACTTTACAAAATTTTTCATTTAAGAAAACAACAGAAAGCTTTGGGAAAAAGCATTGTATGTCTCAAAGCACGTGCCAAAGTTTTGCGAAAGTGAAAACACCGTGTGGAGAAGTTTATAACTTTTTCATCCACAATATAAATATTAATATACCGAAAATGCCAATATGACTACTCAAGGCTACAATTAAAATGTTCATGTATATGATCGATATACTATTTCCTAAAAAGAGTAGACAACAAGAAATATGTATTTAAGATCAATGTACATTATTCCCGGTCATAAATGGTAACTTTTCCTTGCAAACTTACTTATGAGGATTAACCATTAAGAAACCAAACACTGCCACTGGTCTTTCTTAAGTCCAAAATTCAGTTTTGAAGGAAAAGCTGAATTTCCCCGCATCATTGCCCAATGGTTATGAACTGAGAGCAATGCAGCGTCAGAATCAGTACATCTTCACTTAACCCAAAGTTCGATGCTCATGGAAGGACTTTTTTCCATTTTAGTGGCTGATATTAACTAGGATATTATAACTATATTTTACCTAAACAAGTGGTTGGGCATTCACCACTAAGACTTTTAACTGTTTTGACATTTCCAGTTATATTTATCACGGATAGGTTGTTATCCATTTTTACATAAACGTAATGACATGCAAAAGTGAGATGTTCACGTTGCGTGTTCAAACATTATTTCTGCACCTAACCTAATTTCCATGTGTTCATAGCCAGAGGAAAAGTAAGCAATCTCCAGCATCAAACTTTGTCATCAACCAACATAAGACATTCTTATGACATAATAAAGGCCAAGGATTAGACAACCGTGCTAGAATTCATTACTCTCAAACTCTCTAAGGTCAAGTCACAACCAGACAACAAGAGAAATTCTATAAAGATTCAACAAGATTGGTGACTGTCAGTGTCCTTTTGACATGTTATCCATCGTGTAAAGTATCATTTTGGATAATTGTTATTGATATTCACTTAATTTTATTTTTTTCCTTCACTTTCTTTTTCCTCTCAGTCTCACTTTTCAGTTACTTACAAAAAGATTTGCGTCATATCGACAGAAATCTATATGATTTCGAAGACCCTCTAAAAACAGTGCTAGTTCTTTGCTTTTTTTTGTTTCCTTTTGTTTCTCTACTTTACATTATCTGCTAGAAGATTCATTATCATTCATACCAAATCCCTCATAAAAGCTCAATAAAATACATTGGTGTGGCTCAAGTGTTCGATTACTATTAGGCTAAACCAGTGGCGGATACACTAAGCCTCCATAGGGGCCAAGTGTATCTCCATTATTTTAGAAAATTGGTTAAATTTAGCTTAATGTCTTAAGGAAAAAAGAAAAAAATTACAATTTTTGCATACCCATTACTTTTAAGAAAAATATTAAAATTTTAGACCCTATTCTTAAATTTTTAGATCCACCACTGGGCTAAACACGGTCGTGCCGGCCATGTTGATGATCATGTTCCAAGACGGGACCAAAGAAGCACAGCTTTCTCGGGGCAGAATCATCAGGGGAACCCAACAATATCCGAATTGTTTAGAAATTTCACCCATTCATGGGGGACCTATAAAAATAGTTTTTGCCTTCATAAAAGATTCTCCTTTTGGAAATGCACGAGTATTAGTTGGAGAGATGCGGGAAAGATGTCAAAAAGAAGGTGAATGACGTGGATGCAAATATGACTTGGATTAAAAATAGGAAGAAAAAAAAGTGTAAGAAAATTCAAAACTTTGTCCCCCAAATATCTTTCGTTTTACCAACAAGTCACTGCATTTCTCAAACCTATTGCTTCAATATTTACCGAAAACGAAAGAGATCTAATTTAAGATCCCTAAAGCTACTCGTATGTGTTTTAGTTGTGGAAAAAATTCGCTTGCACTAAGAAATGAAAAGGGAAGCCTTGCTCACGAACCTCACCTTAGATTGTCTTCCTTGAGTATATATAAGAAGCTAACTAGGCGCTTAGACAGATTGTGCTAAAGAGAAGTAGTGAGAAAGTTTCCTCCATATCCGGGATTTTCAGTAAAATATATAGCTACCATAACTTGTCTTGTTCATCAGATAGTGACTACTCAAATGTGGACATAAACAAAAATGATGTTAGGTCCTCCAAAGATCAACTTGAATTTTCTAATTTGGTGTTAGAAAAGAAACGTATAAAAACGAAATTTGGAACGAAAATTATTGCACAAGGGACCCACATTATTGAGACATTAGTCGAAATGAGTTGTTATTATATTCTCATAAGTTATAGAATACTGCAAAGTCCACGATAAAGTGGTTTTTCTAATAAATTGTTGATGGATGGAAGCCATGCACTCATGCTTCATAGTTTTCTCCCAGGTTATACTGTAACAAGAAATGGAAAAACTAAATTTGATAAGATGGGCGCTACTGAAAGGCCATTAAGTTGAGGCCCAAAATCAGGTTATACCCAGCAAAATACGCCCAATAGGCTGTACAGGTAAAAAAATTAGTCCATTAAGCCATCTCCAAAATTAATTTGAGATCAACAGTAAATGTTGCGGTACAAGATAAACTTGTCACATCCACATGATGAATTTTCTCAAATAATATTTTTTATTCAAACTCATCACGTCGAGGTGATGAGTTTCAATAAAATATAATTTTTTATTAGATTTTCTCACATCAGAGTGACAAGTTTCAATAAAAAATATATTTTATTGGAACTCGTCATGCACATGTGACGAGTTTCAGATCACTGTAGAAAATTACGTAGTTATCAGAAATAAAAAAAAATCTGGTTCCGTATTAGACTAAATAATTAACCCGTCTATGATATTGGGCCAAAATTGCCCCTTATACCCTAGTCTAATTTTGAAGTCCAAAAGCAACATTGAAGTCTGCAACTTTTGAACCAATAAACTTACTCGATATATTTAAACTAAATTTTGATCCTATTGAAATGTCTCGGCTGCTGTGAACTTTGTTTTGGCTCGTGAGTTTCTACCAAAGGCCAAAGCTACAGACGATCTGCTTCTCCCCGCTTAATTATTGGAGATTCCCGGCCCGCATGGCCTGGACGGTTTCACGCGTGGGGCTATACGCTCACTAGCTAATTAGCAGACTAAGACGTTTCATCTGTACGCTTATAATTAATTTGTGCTCACAAATGTTTAATTATTCAACAACCATCGAGCGTCCTAACTTCCGTTTCCCTGCTGGAATGGATAAAAATGCACGCGCATGCGACCAACGAAATAGCGGCCTTGTGCGCCCAAATTGCTATGGTTGTGATTAATTTATGTCACCATGTTGAAGCCAATGAACGCATTACTCACGTACAAACAATTCGATTATTAAGCAACAATTATTTGTCCAAATCTTATCCTCAAAGCCACTCCTGCTTTGATCAGAAAAGGAAAAAGGTTGCAGATTCTGCATGCTAGTTGTCCATAAAATGGTAGAAATTGTGGGTGGAATGTGTGACGAAATTGACAAGGAAATCCAACAAATAGCTGAGGCCTGAAGGCCCTCACCCTTACCAGTAATTACGACCGCTCCAGTAGCGAAGTAGTAACTTAAGGCAGTTGCTGTTTAGCTGCTTTACTACTCATTTTGCACACCTTTAACATTCGTTCTTTCTAATTGATTTTATTTTTATTTATTTATTATCCTTATAAATTAAATAATCCTTTTATTTCTGTGACGAGTCACTAGGATTAATTTAATCAAAATTCTCCAATTAGAATACGACATAAAACATCGAGACAAAAACTGATAATAAAAATGATTAGTTTCATTTCTCTTGGAAGCAAATGCTGCAGTTGTAGTAGTGGTCGAGTGTACATGATAATATTAAATATTATCCATACCTTCCGGGAAATCAACAATCAAAAGAATCCCATCCCCTCTTTTAATATAAATAAAAATCAACCTAAAAAAAAAGGTCTACCTTTCGTACACAATAAGCTCTCCACCCCCAAAGCCACCGATCTTCACACGTGTCCACTAGATTGTTGCAAGTTGAAGAGGTAACTTGCCTGGGGAACTTCATTTCAATAGACGGCAGAGCTTTGCAGTCTTACTGCAATCCACGTCACTGTTGGACATGCTCGTGGGACCCAATGGACACTAAGCCAATGTATAACTACATTAAAACCAAATGGCCCCAATTTTAATGGGCTAAATTATACTAGTATTTCGTAAATTTTCCATTCTATATGGCATCGTATAAATATAGTTGGTGAATGAGTTAGAAGAGTTGCCCTCACAACCAAAACGCCATTACCATTGCGATGCCGACACAAAAGTAGGTGCACGAGGTCGGTGATGCAGCACTTTCGTCAAAGACTCCTTCGTATACCATTGTGCTGTTTATAAGAGGCGACGTTGGCGTTGTTTCCGCGTTCTGCCCTTTTGATGATTTCTGGCTGCAAATTTTACGTGCCAAAACAAAACTTTCAAAATCCTGAAAATTAAATAATAATAAAAATAAACTCCAGCTCATAGTAAACGTATTCCCTTGGGGCTGGTGGAAGCACTTATTTTATGAGTATTACATCAACTACAATAATATAACTATGATGGTCGTGCAATGTTCCGTCTGGCAGAGCATAATTGGTCTCAATTTGCTGGTTCGGTTTCAAATGGCTTACGGGCTATCATAAAATGCGCGTCGGGAGATGTAGATGTATTCTGATGCATTAAAATTATATCCGATCTACCTAAGTACTACTCTGAAGACGAACCCAAATTTTATCTTACAGGGAAGGGCATTAATTAGAAAGCTAATTTATTTTCAGCTACCTAAAAAGGCCAACATTTGCATTTATTATTTACGGCCTTCGTCAACAGAACGTTTTCTCGTGATGACGTTGAAAGTGCGAAACCAAAAAGTTGAAAAAAGGTTGGTAAAGTAAAATTTACCTGGTGTTAGGCGAAGGGCAAAAAGTAATCGTGTAATCAGCATTGGCACATGTGAAGGTGCTGGTTTTATCATCGTAGGCATAGCTGTAGGCGAGTGGGCAAGCCGTCTTGAAGACCTTCGAGTAGGAAGAAGGCTTGCAAGTATCAGGTGTTGCATACGCGCCGCTGCAACAGTACTGAGGCTGGCCGAAGGCATCGCAAGCACTCTTGCAAGCGACGCCATCTCCGCCGTCAGTGCTCATCACCTTGAGATCCGAAGGACACGAGTCATTAAGATCCACTGCGCAGCCGGTGTAGGTACAATTCGGCCCTTTACCACCCTGTGGAACTACCAACATAGGGATGTTGTAACCATCCACCAAACTAACATCAAAAAAGTCAAGACCGCCAGCACCATCCAAAGTAAATTCAGCCAAAGTGGCAGGTGGAGCAGCGCCATTTCCTGAACATTCTAGCTTGCCGGAGCCACAATCCCCCGTCAAACAAGAAAATTTACCGGCGGAACCTTGGGAGCAACGAGTTCTGCCCCAGAAACGACCACCCCATGATGTCGGTGCGGCAATGGTTTTCGTTTCTCCTCTTTGAAGAGCGAAACCTGTAGTGGGAAGAGGTGAAATACCTGCGTTTGTGAGAATTCCAGGCCATACAACATAGTCGCATTTGTTTACTATGGTGAAAGTTGTTGCTTGCAATCCTGTTCACAAATTACAATGCAATGAAAATCAATTCAAAACAACCCAAACTTGAATCCAAATCCACACAATTAACTTTAGAATTGATTGAATATGTATCAGTGTTTCCCAAACAGGTACCTGATATGAACGAATGTGATAAAATAAGAACACAAATAGAAGCAATAAATATAAGCTGGGCCATGAAGCTTGCAAGAACTCTATATAATGCGAAAGAAGAAGAGGAAGTTTGGGGGGGGGGGGCAAACTCCAATGCTATTCTTCGGAAATAGTGGCTGAGGAAGTGTGAGATTCTGCAACGGCAATACAAAATGGGTGTTTATAAAGGGAAATTGAGCTATAATAACTAACGTCAGACACAGTCAGAAAGATAAACGCGGGCCCAACTACAAAGTTGCTATTGTGTGTTTACACATCCATTTTGTTGTAGTGTTTAGTTGAGAGTTTATTTCCTTCTTGCTTTTTGGCATGTAAATTTCTGTCGACAAATACAAATATTGGATTGAAAACGAAATGAAAACAGTTTTCACATGCTGAAATAATTTCCCGTTTACATTTTAAAATGTATTTGCTTCATTTACGTTTATGGTTCGGGTTTTAAAAATAATAATTCAAATTTTATGTTAATTTAATTTTACGACAAATAGGTATTATCTAAAAATATTTTAATTAAATCTACCTTATATAAGTGGCGGATGCACTAAGCTTACATAGGGGCCAAGTGCATCGTTAATATTTTGAAAAAAATTGTTAAATTTGACTTAATGTGTTAAGAAAAAAAGAAAAAAATTATAATTTTTTGCATACCCTTTATTTTTAAGAAATTTTTTTAAAATTTTGGATACTCATTCTTAAATTTATGGATCCGCCACTACCTTATATACGAAGAAGTGGCTACCATTAACTAACCAAAATGCATTTACTAAAATTATTGTGTTAATTTTGGTACGTTTATCCAGTTTTCTTTGGAACCGTCAATCTTGTAAACACAATCCTTTATTATTGGGGTGATTCTGTTGTGCGACGCCTAAAAAACAGCTAAAAAATGGTGTGACCGGTTAAAGAAGTGATCGGTTATGTTATATCATTTAACCAGAAATATTATCAAGCACAAAAAACATATTAGGTAGCGCTTATATAATAAAATAGGCATTTAACCGGTATATTTATACCGGTAGCATTGCAAATTTACCTATTGCATTATAATTATTGGTTTCGTTGTTTTTTGGATCGATACAATTTTAAATGTATCGACACTTTATGCTTGCACCTCGTTGGGCATTCCTAATTCATTCTGGAAAAAAATATTGACACAAACTATAAAGGTGTCGATACATTATTTAAACATATTTTCTCATAAAATCGATATATTTATACTGGGTACATTGTAAATTTACCTATAACATTGTAATTTTCGTTTTGATGTTTTTGGGATCGATACAATTTTAAATGTATCGACACGTTATTCTTGCATCTCGTTGGGCATTCATTATGGACAAAATGTATCGACACAAATTACACAAGTGTCGATACTTTATTCTGACCTATTTTCTCATAAAACCGGTAAATTTAAACCGGTTACATTGTAAATTGACCTATTACATTATAATTATCGGTTTCGATGTTTTTTTTCATCGATACAATTTTAAATGTATCGACACTTTATGCGTGAACTTGTTTGTTCTTTCTTTTGGAAAAAAGTATCGACACAAACTTAAAAAGTGTCGATACTTTATGTTGACATGTTTTATAATTAATCGGTATATGTATACTGGTTACATTGTTAATTTAAATATTATATTATAAATATTTGTTTCGATGTTTTTGGGGTCGATACTTTTTGAAAATGTATCGACACATATTCTTACATATGTATCGAAACAAATCTTTGTGTTTACTAATTTTGTCACTAAAAAAATATATTTTTACAACCTACATTGTAAATTTACCTATTACTTTAAAGTTATTGAATGTTGTAGTTATTGTACATACCTGAATATGTCCTGCAAATTTAATGTTGTACTCACCCTCCAACTACCGCTACCAGTACCACATCCTATTGAAAACACCACTGAAAACATGTTGTTCAATGAACCTTTACTTACATCTCCATCAACTCTTGTTGGGACCACTGAAATTGCACAACAAAATTTTTGCCGTGGATCATACTGATGCAGACAATATTAAGCCAACCGATGAATGCCATGAAGTACATGATGTTGATGAATCTGACATATTGGTTGGTAAACTTCTGAATGTCTTGGGATGTAGACAAGGACACCATTGACATCAAAAATTACTAGTTTTCTTGCAAGCGGCGTTGCAGACACGATATACTTATTTGGATCATCATCATCATCATCTTCATTGACCGCTTGGTTGTCCACATCTGTTAAAAGAAAATAAAATACATTTCAGAACGTGTAAATGTTTAGAAACATAAATAATTAATTACTTAACTTGTTTGATGTCGTTGCCGTAATTCATCACGCAACATGGAGACTACATCGCGTAATGATGAAATATCAGCTCGCATTCCGCTCACAAGGGAATCAATATGCTCCCGAAAATTGACCATGTATTCCATCACTGTCGTAATTGTGACATCATGTCCAACTTGAGCTTCTGCAGCTTCTTCCATCATTGCGTCTGAAATATGGAATGACCATTCATTCCCGCACATGATGACAATTATGTTAGTGACATTTGGAATAATGCAGACAAAAAACATGACTCCTACTGTGTATAAGAAACATGTACACAAAACATTTTGATGACTTTTCCCATCTCATACATAATTACATTCACATACAAAATTATAAATCGTATACAAAATTAAAAATCTTATACAAATTAACCATGCATTTACATCATCCATTCCTTTTGTTATTATTGTGTAGCATGACAGTTTTTGTCATATTCTCTTTTAGTTGATTTTGATTGTGGCTTACGAGATCGTTTAATATTCGTATACGATCCCATTTTCCAACAACCTATATTCAAATTGTCAGTACGTTAAGTATTGTAGACCATAACATTCAATCTACGACTTTTAACAATTTAACCGCTAACAAATTTTTAATTATACTTACAAAATCACAAGTAGCCCCTCTAGAACCAATCGATTCCATCCACATCATTACATAAATGCCGCAATCATGTCCATTCGATTGCTCGTTCATCTTATGCTTCGCGAATTTGAATCTTTGCAAGGGGAAATTTCCTAGAGATCCACATGCTTCTACCCAAATGCGTTTCTTATTATAACTATCTAATATTTTCATCTGCATTAAAAAAATATGAAGTTATGATCCAAACAAATTATGCATTATAATTGACATAATTTCCTTTCATACATACCAATCTCTTAGCATCATTCACTCTCTGTTTTGCTGCTTCAGATGTAAACAGACTATCATATACAGTTGCAACACGGTCTACCATATCCAACACCAACAGATACCAGTGTGAATTATTGTGGTTTATTGTGATCATGATCTGTAACAAATTTCACACCCAATTTGACAAAATTCAACATTATATATCTAAAAACATCATTTATGCCTATTCGTATGTGTCTTATTTTCTCACAGTTGGTGAATTTCACATAGTTATGCAATATGGGACCCCAAAAACTCGCAATACCCTCAATACAGACGTTGTCCAACGCCTGTTGCTGCAATTACGTGACAATCATTATTAATTTATCGTCTATAACATTACTTTTCAACATTTATTAATTTAACTCATCGCTAAGTGGTATGGAATGTAGCCAATAGTCCGGCCTGACTTTTTAGAATCGTAGCGTACTGTCCAGGCGAGCAAATCAATAACCTAACAAAATTAATTACACAATCAGAATATATTCAATAGGTTTTAACTTTTAATCGATGTCTACTTATCACACCGCCAACCCATTCACTAGGCTTCAACGTTGCAACGTTGGATACACTAGCGTATTGATTTCCCATTGAGATTACAGAACATCTGTATGAATCATTAGGATTAATATATTGTCATGAAATATTTAAATATCACTCACAAAGCAATATATTTAACTTACCCCGATTCTAACTCACTATTCCATAAATAATCACAAATTGCAGCTTCAACCGGTTCAATTCCGCTTGGAATAACCGTTTTTTCAACCTACAATTTTGCATACAAATTTTAGTCACAACAACATGATAAAAATCAAATTAAGTTTTCTTTTATTCAACTTACCTTCTGCTTCTTCTTCTGGGGTGCAGGACATTCTGAATCCAAATCTGCATCTATAACACTCTCCGGTGTGTAGATGTTAGTGACATCCTTTCTCCTCATTTCCTCCATATTCTCTTCTTCAAATTTTTTCAGTTCATCATATTTTTGCTCTACATAGCTCTTCATCTCTTTTATTTCACCCTTCATTTTTCCCCCTTCATCCAAGTTTTTCTCAACCACCTCCTTCAGCTCCGTAAGTTCACTCCTCAATTCCACAACCTCCTTGACAACTACATTAATTTTTCCACCCGTCAACATATTAAGTTCCCCCAACACCTCAACTTCATTCACCACTACATCTACCTTTCCTTCCACTTCCCCCTTATGCCTCTCAAGTGTCTCTTCATCTCTTGATTGTCTTTGATGAATATCAAAAATGATTTTTTTAATATCAGCCAATTCAGACATCAAAATATCGAATTTACTTTATTTTCCATCATCGTAATCCCCCCAACCGTCATCCACCCCTCCAACCATCTCTTCTTCCTTCTCCATTGCCTCTTCTGCTTCCTCTGCCTCCTCTAACTCCTTGACAATAACCTTCAAAATTAAATTTGTATTAAGGCATTGATTATATTCTTAATATTATTTAATTACATTTATTACCATTTCTAGCTTTCTCGGTCTATCCAACTTCAAATTCACCATCACTTTAACCACCTCTTCCTTCCCCCATGCACGGATGCGTGCCACTCCATTTCTTTCATAAGCCGACAAATTATCACAGCCCGACCAATAATCGAACAGTGCAACCTGCATTTATAATAAAAGTTATCATTTTATATAATAACTATACTATCATTTTATATAAAAAAAACAAAAACATTCTTCAACTCAGTTACCTCTAAGATTGCTATGCACCCTTTGAGGTATCTCTGGTTTCCCTTTTGAAAGGTGATTATTGATTCAATCAATCTCTAATGGACATATTCAGCCCAATTGAATTCACCCTTCAACCCTTCATCGCAAATGAGCTTCATATCGTCCTTGTT